CAGTCCCTTTGGCAGGTCAGCTGGAGTGCTTGCAAGACAACCCTGTAGCCGTGACTGCTCGGTTGGAAGGTCTGAAAATCACTGGTGCAATAGTGATCGTACAGAGCTTCGAGAGTGTTCATGCTAATTAATACAGAGGTTTGTATACTGGAAGGGAAATCAGGAACAACAAGTGCAAGGGTTTGAATTTCAAACCTGCTCCCAAGGAAGTCCTCCGGAAACGTTATTGTGGTCTCCACATAACCAAGGTAAGGAACTTCTTGACCCGCTGCACCTTCGACATGGAGTAGCTCATTGAGTGAATGAATGCGTTGATTGCATAAATGTTCATTGTAAAACGACATTGGCAGGGTTGTCACCTGCGATCCAGTATCCAAAAGGCTTGGACAGGATTGGCCAGCGATTGTGACTTCCGCTGTACATCTGGAACCAATTAACCCTTTTGGTAACTTTTGCTTTGGTTGGATGCTTGACTGCATCTCAGCACACTGAACAGGGTTCTTGACGGGACGGACTTGGTCCAGTACAGTTCCTGATTGTCCCTCATCAGGAACTCGAACTAGTTTAAATGTCTGTTAGTGCTTGGGTTCTGCCAATTTCCTTGTTTACTCTTGTACCGGGTTCTCTTCAAAGACACTAAGGTTGGGTTGGGATCACTGGATACATTGTGGCTTAATGTGACCATCTTCTCCACAGCGGAAACAAAACCCTGGCCTGGGAGAAGTGGACTTTGTCCCAGCCTTTAGAGTAGGTGATGACAACTGTGGGTTCTGATTGGAAGTTAGCATTGCCAATTGCTTTTGGATGTTTAGCATTTGTTCAGTCAATTGGTTCGTGAATGTTGTCAACGCTGCACACAGATTGGGTTCTTCTTCGGTCTGAACTCGTTGTGCATGGTTAGAAACTTTCTGCTTAGCGCCCAAGTGTTGTCTCATGCGGACAATTTTTGCAGCATCTTGATCCTCTTCAGTGCGTAACAGTAATAAAAGTTCAGCAAACGATGGTGGGTTGCTCTTCTTCTGTTTCAGCTGTAATTCCACTATGAGGTTATTATCCCAACAACCTCGACAGAATTGGGTCAATAGGCATTTGTTCATGTCTCTTGCCGGAACTCCACCCCTCTTCACTGCGTGCTGCAATGCGAC